GTGCCACAAAGAGGACGTTAATATCACCAACCATTCCCATTTTATTAAGGTGCATCCATATAAATGGCCCACCCTGTATATGTGGCTCTTCACCATTGTGAACTTTACATAGGTGCAGCAGGGAAACAGCGTGTGTGTGTGTGTGTGTGTGTTGTGTGTGTGTGTGTGTGTGTGTGTGTGTGTGTGTGTGTGTGTGTGTGTGTGTGTGTGTGTGTGTGTGTGTGTGTGTGTGTGTGTGTTTCTAACACCCTGCAAACATGCAAATGCAGAGTTCAACAAACTGGTGCATGAGGACATTTAAAGGGGCAGGCACCCTTAAAGCTCTCAGACTGCGCTCACATCTTCATGTCAGACTGTTAAGGTATTTAAAGGGGCAGTTCACCCAAACATAATTTCCTCATCCTCCATTTGCTCCAAACCTGTGTCTTTCCTGTTGTTGAACACAAAGCAAGATATACTGAAGAATGCTGGACTAATTATTCCTGCTGGTGACGTCAGTGGCAGTTCTGCTCCAGCATTCTTCAGAGTATCTTGATTTGTGTTCAGCAGAGGAAAGACGTGCATGAGTAAATCGGTGTGAAGATCCTTTTTGGGTGCAGCGACTCTCCTGATGCACTGGAGTGACGGTTTGATTGTGCACGTGCGGGATGACATCACTTCCTGTCGGTTCTGTGTGCAGGTGCATTCAAATCAGGAGGTCATAGAGCAGAGTGTGTTTCTAATGCTGAGGGGATGATCCTGTGTTGATGCTAATGGAGTGTGTGTCTGCACTGCGGTGTACACTCTATTAATCATACTCAACCAACAGCAACTGCTGGAACAATACTGTAACGCTAGACTGAGAGAGGTGAAGAGGAGGGAATCTGAGGTTGCTGAGAGCATTTCAGCAGTGTGTGTGTGTGTGTGTGTGTGTGTGTGTGGGTGTGTGTGTGTGTTTGTGGTAGTGTATATAGTGTATGTATGTGAGTGTGTTTCTAACCTGCATCTGTGTGCGTGTGTGTGTGTTACTTACATGTGTCTATGTGTGTGTTACCTGCACTAGTGTGTGTGTGTGTGTGTGTGTGTTTGTGTGTGTGTGTGTCTGTTTGTCACCTGCACGTGTGTGTGTGTGTGTGTGTGTGTGTGTGTGTGTGTGTGTGTGTGTGTGTGTGTGTGTGTGTGTGTGTGTGTGTGTGTGTATGTATGTGTGTGTGTGTGTCTGTTTGTCAACTGTATGTGTGTGTTTGTGTGTGTGTGTGTCCATGTGTGTATGTTACCTGCACATGTGTGTGTGTGTGCGTGTGAGTGTGTGTGTTTGTGTGTGTCCATGTGTGTATGTTACCTGCACATGTGTGTGTGTGTGTGTGTGTGTGTGTGTGTGTGTGTGTGTGTGTGTGTGTTTGTGTGTGTATGTTACCTGCACATGTGTGTGTGTGTGTGTGTGTGTGTGTGTGTGTGTGTGTGT